TGATCAGTTTTTCCCAGCCGGGGCAGTTTTAATACGCGGGGACTTAAATCCCCAGAAGCCCCCAGCAAGCTCAGCCACTTTGAGCACGCTGGCTGGGGAATTCTGGGAGTTGAAGTCCACGCGTCTTAAAGCTGCCAAGGTTGAGAAACACTGATCTAGGCGACAGGGCAGAAAATGAGATTGCTAGAATATTTTTCTCCTGTGGATAGAAGCAGGTGGGAACAGCGATGGGTGAGATATTCTCCATTTCAGCTTGGAACATGAATATGGATCTCGGTGCAGCCGAAAACACCCGGCATTATTTAGCAGTAAAACCCAAACAACCTTCAGATTTTAAACCACGGCCTATGAGGTATGGATACAAACCAGCTGCTTCCTCAGCCATTTCACCTGCAAATTACAGCGACCCTCAGTCTGACAGGTCACCCCATCTTGGGAACTGCAGAGACAAGAGGCTGCATTGCCCTCCAGCCCCCTCCCCAAATAACCAATTAAGTTTGCTGTGCTCAGAGAAATCTGATCCATTTATATTACGACATTTGCGCCTATTTGCATATTGGCACGATGCCTTCATTATGCAAATGATGCAAAGCACTTGGTTTGTGTTAATTTACATTCCTTGCATATGCAAATTAAGCGACTGCCACAAATGATGGGATTTACCATTTAATTGATATTGGTGAGTAATAGCTCCCCCCCCCCCCATGGTCCATTAAATTGAAGTTTCCTTGCAATGTTTTCTTGAGATGGAGTAAAATTCCAGCCTTCCTACCCAAGCTGCCAAAAATAAAATAAGTGACACGAAATATTTTAAAAATAGGAATTGCAGTCGTATAGAATAGTTTATTTTAAACTCGGTTACTGTGTTCTGGGTTGAAGCATAAAGTAACCACACAGGCTGGATCCCATAAAACCCAACATAACTGCACCAAGTCACAGAGCTCTACAATGCTTTGGATTGGATTCCAAAAGATGCTTAGGAGAACATCTGGGGCAGATGGCACATCTGTCTCTAAATCTTTCAAAATCTTTCCCTGCATCGCGTGGGACCTGCCGAGCGCAACCACTGAACCCCAAAAGGTAGGGCTGCTTGGAAAAACTGGCAGGCAAATGCCACATTCTCTTCCTGCCCACTCCAGACCATCTTTTCTAAATTATTTCCAAATGGCTGCCTAAAAAACACAGCGAAGCCTCAGTTTACCAGATCTTCATTCAGCGCGCTCTGAATGCAAATTTCGCCCAACACAATGGGCTAAATTTCCTCCACTGGAAATATGCACGCTGTGCGCGCACAGCCACAGGGACGTGGTCTCCAATTTAATGCCCCCTCCGTGCGATGCGGGTTTCCCAGCAGTGGGAGGAAGGGGCTCAGGATAGGGCTTTCTATGCAGAAAGGGAGGACAACCCTCTGGGCGACTCGTCCACCTTGAATTTTGCTCTGCCGTTGCTCTTGCTCTTTCCGGGGCCGACCCCTGAAATCCTAGTTATGCAGCGCACTTCCGTGCATGAGAACCGCTGCACTGGCCCACCAGAAACACAGCGGGCTGCTTCTTCTGCTCTCCGAGAGCAGGAGGTGCCCTTACAACGAAGGGCACCCAACTCTGCAAAAGCCGTGCAGCGACTGTCCGCCTGTTGGACGATCTGGCAAGCCAGCAGGATAAAAACAAGATGGGACTAAATTCGATCGTTATTTTCCACATTTCTATCCGGTCACCATCCAGAGACTCTCGGCAGCTTACGTAGATTAGAAAAAGCAAGGAAAACTTCCATCTTCACAAGCTTAGGAAGTATGTGGATGTGTGTCCAGAAAGGTAAAACTTCCCTTGAGCTGAGTTTGACTCTGCCCCACTTTGTTGTTGTTGGGTTTTTTTGGCAACATTATGGAAAAGATTTGCCTTCTTCTGGATGGTTTTGACTTCCCAGTTCAGGCTTACAGCCTTGGGATCTCCTGGTGGTGTCCTATCCAAGGATTAACCAGGATTAGCTTTTCAAGATCAGCCAAGGTCAGTTCGGCTAAAAATTCCACGAAGCAATTTTTCTCAGCTGGTTGCTTTTATTGCTCCACCAAAGGCCTGTCCCTCTTTCAGGGCCTAAACTCCCCATTTGCACACTGAAAATCAAACCCCCTAGAAATTCAGTATAATCTCAGTTATACCCTGGTTGCCTCTCACCAAGTTACAGGTAGTCCTTGCTTAATGACCACAATAAGGACTGGAAAATTTGTTGTTAAGCAGGGTGGTTGTTAAGTGAGTCGCACCCGATTTTACGACCTTTTTTGTGCCAGTCGTTAAGCGAATCACATGGTTCCCCATTGACTTTGCTTGCCGGAAGCCAGCTAGGAGGATTGCAAATGGCGATCACATAACCCCGGGATGCTGCAGACTTCATAAGGGTGAGCCGGTTGCCAAGCGCCCAGATTGCAATCATGTGACCACAAGGGCACTGCAACAGTTGTAAGTGCAAGGACCGGTTGTAAGTCCCTTTGTTCAGCACCGTTGTAACTCTGAACGGTCACTAAACAAATGGTTGTTAAGTGAGGACGACCTGTAATCAGTTTGACCTTGCTTTACAACGTTTGTGATTAGCCAAGGTTAGCAAGGTGCTGCCCTCTGCTGTGGCAAGTGTATATATTCATCATTTTGAATCTTAATGTAATTTATTTTAATTTCAGTTCCATTCAATGCAGCCAGGAGTGTCTGCAGAGGAAGGCCAGGAAAGTCAAGATGCTGGCTGCCATGGTGTGATTCAGGTTCCACCATTTTTAGTGTGCATTGCAAAATAATGCCTAGCCTGTGGACGCCTCTGAACGCAATTAATTAATTTCCTTTTTTGAGCAGTCGGCTTCCCGTTCTAACATGATAAACATGAGTATTGAGGAGACAGATTTTGGAGAAGCTCAGTGCTTTTACTCTGGAGGTGGGAAGGAAAATAGACCTGGCCTTGGGAACAGGGAAAGAAGAACAAACTGTTGATCTCAGTTAATCTCAGTTCATTTCAGGAAGGATTACACAGTCCTGCAGAAGAAGAAAAAATGAGAGGAAAAACTCATAATAACCCTACTTTGATTTTGTTTAGCATACATTGGGACAGAGAACAACCTGGACAGTCTTTGAAGACTTTGTTATTCTACCTGACTACAATAAAACAGCGTTCCTGGAACCCCTGTGGGGCCTGTTTCTTGGCCTGGCCTACCTCGAAGGGCTGTCGAGAGGCTTCACAGCGTACAATTCTATTCCAGAGGAAGTAGATGTTGGACACGAGAAGTGTGCAAAACTCACCATTCTGGAGATAGAACATATCCAGGGCATCGCCACCCGCTCGCACACCTGAAAGATTTATTTCTGGAAAATGACCACACCGCTTCAGACCCTGGACCCTGTTCCTGGAATTCAAGTGGAGCATTTGATACTCCTTGGAATAGTGTGATACTCCTGGAATATTGTATCTCCAGAATACTGAGTTTTGCCTACAAGTTTTGTAGACCTCTAAACAGCCTCTGTGCTCTCCCAAGTCAAATCTTGCACAGCAGTGATGGCTACAATATTGTCCGATTAACTCCTCTGTCGCTCTGTGTTCCCCTCTCCAGGTGGGCTGCAAAGTAGCCGTGACTTTGTTCCTCTACTTCCTCGCCACGAGTTACTACTGGATTCTGGTGGAAGGCCTCTACCTTCACAGCCTCATCTTCATGGCCTTCTTCTCGGAGAAGAAATACCTTTGGGGATTCACGTTGTTCGGCTGGGGTGAGTTTGCATTTCTACCAAGGCTTAATCCAGAGACTGGAGGATCTCAGGGGCTTCCAAAAGGTTGTCTCTTGGCCACAAGTAGTTTACAAGTACAGTACAACCCTCCCATTGTTAATGTTTACTGGTAAAAAGAAAGAGGGAAGGGTCTGCGGGAAAAATCAGGGCGAGTTACAAAGACCTCCCAAAATGGGACCATCAGAACATTCATCTGGAGGCACCTGCAGAAGTTGGAGCAAGGGTGGGATTTATGGAAACCATGATATAAATTGCTCCCCTAAATAGGGCCCTTCCTCCTGGAGGAAGTCTACCTATGTGGTTGCTAAGAGTCCACACAGACTAGATGGGCACCGGATCAATCAGTTAAAGGTCTGCAAGCATGAAGGGACATGCAGGACATTATTCACAAATGATGGTGTTGAATCCAGAAATGGGAGAGTTTCTGAATTTTCCCTGAACTCTTTGGGAGAAGGTGGGTGGGTGGGATGAGCTCCTAATGACTTGAGTCACCTTCATTCCATGGGATCTGAATTCCCAAAAGTTTCCAGGGCAAAGCACAGCTGGAGGGTCTGTTTTTCAACAGCTTCCACATCTTTGGTAGTAGATGATGGTGGAAATGCTCTTCTGTGTAAAGGGACACTACAGCATTTTAATACCTAGAAAGGGGCATGGATAGTTAGATCTTTCTTCAACAGGTTTTGAGGACTGAGGGCAAGTAGAGGACTCTCAGCTGCTCAGGCAGGAAAGAGTTGAACCATGGCTGCAAAGAAGTCAGATGTTGGATTCTTTTACAGATAACTAGAGGGAGACTTTCAGAGTTATCCTATTTATTAGGGAAGAACAAATGGCACGCCAAGAGGTACTTTGCTCTAAAGACCTACCTGCACCCCTTCTTCTCCACTTCCTTAAAAAACATGAACTGAAAGAGATTAATCAACTCTTTCTCTAGAGCAGTGTTGTCCAAACTTGGCCACTTTAAGATGAGTGGACTTCAATTCCCAGAATTCCCCAGCCAGCCATGCTGGCTGGGGAATTCTGGGAGTTGAAGTCCACTCATCTTAAAGTGGCCAAGTTTGGACAACACTGCTCTAGACATTTTCATTTCTGCACTACCAACAAATGGGGTCCTCTAGAATTGCTCAGCTATCATTGTCCCAAAACAACATCAGCCGGCTTTACATCACTTCAACGAGGCTCTGAAGACTCTAGAATTTGGAAATGAACTCAGTCTGATTGAACTGGAAGCATCTGCCTTTCCTCCACATTTCCCATGGCTTCAGAGGTGCCAAACTTTATAGTCTAGACTTGAGTTCCTCCATCTTAAATCTTTCGACAAGTTGTCCTACAGGAGAAGGTCAGGCTGACATTTTGAAGGCAACCAAGCTCCTCCATGTCCTCCTGAACTTGTCTGTGGGGTGGGACTGGTCCCCCTCAACCACCCAGACTGGAGAGATGCCTCTTCCCACTTTCCTTCTCTCTTCTTCTGCCCCACCTTCGAGGTCAGGTCCCTGAGGCTCTATTCCGAGTCCCCAAAGCTTACCTTCAGCACATTTGTCTGGACGCAAGAACGGAAAGCTGCAATTTCAACCGAAGCTGGTCTGGTTGGAAAACAGGATGTGGGGACCCAGCGGTGGGCAGATCATTAGCCAAAGTCTGTTTTCGTGCGCAGGCGTCAAAGGAAAGGAAATTAAAATCTCCAAAATAGCCTTGGCTGACCAAGAGGAGGGGAGGACATTTTGTATAAGTATGCGTGCACATACGTAGATGTATATGTGTGCGTGTGTGAGAGAGAGAGACATTTTAGAGAGTCCAGTTCAGTGTCACAGCCATTCTCAGTGGAGTGGAAAGCATGTGAAGAGAAGAATTGCTTCGCAAGAGAAGAACCACAGACCCGCCTAATCCGGGAGGGTCGCACCAGCTGGGAATTAGCCCTTTTCTGAGTGGGGCACCAGGGTTGACCCCCAGCTTGCTTCTAGAAGCCCACAAATCCTCACGATCTTTTGCTCCTAGAGGTCTTCAGTTCAGGCCCCGTGCGCCCATTCTCCATCGCTCCCTTAGAATCGTAATAATAGATGATATATTATGGTTGGTTGCACAGTCAGCCAGATGTTTAGACTGGATTTGGCATTTTTATCCACCTATTGAGTCCTACCCAATAACCTGGGATAGGCAGATGTGGTTGTTTGAGGGTGTTAAAGGTCGCAAGATATGAGCTGTTGCAAGGAAAGCTGTCTTTCGCAATGGACTGGTGGTGATTTTGACCATGCCGATGGTCTTCCAGGGGTGCTCCAGATGTCTTGGGATTGCACCCAAGGCGCCTATAATATTATTGTTGTTGAATATCTCAGTCTAATCAATTGGGTGTTGACAGCAGTGATTCGGGTGCTAACCAAGAACCTGGAGTCACGGAGGTGTCACGCCACACATACGCTGTTCCAAGTCAGCTCACCTTTTGCAAAATTAGCAGTGTCGACCTCAATAACTTTCCCACGTCTAAATATCTGGGGAACCCTACCGAGACCTCCAGTCACGATCCGTATGTCTGTTGATTTTTTTCCTCCCTAACCTGAGTTTGTAAATCAAACTGGGGTTTGCTCTTGTTTGCTTTGCTGGGGTTCTCTCGAATTCTCGGGTCAGAGTGGCAGGCCGGTCACCGCGATGTGGCCCAGCAGGATGATGAAGCCTCTGCGAGCCCAGCATTGACGCTCAGAGAATGGCAGGGCAAACCTTGGCTGTGACCTTATGACTACCTTGCGAGATAATATTACGGCTGGCGTTTCCTCCCAGAGCGGAAAGCCGGCTAGGTGGCACTCGTTGGCCACCTTTGCTCCCATCCACGCAACGGGGTCACAGACACAACCTTCAGATTATGGCAGGGCCCTTTGCGAGGTGGGGGGCCGTCTAGGGCTGGGCGGACGGGGAAAGAAAAAAGCGGGGGAGGAGGGGGAGAGGAATGG